CGACTCTCCGAACGAAAATAACACCACGAATGGAGTAATGCTCAAAGACTCGGCGATATCTCCATTCACACCCTCCCCACACGATAAGCAAACAAATATGACACCTCAAAATCCAGAACCGCCACCGAAGCCACCAGACCATAACTACAACTCCAAGAAGAGCGAGGATGATGGTGACAATGAGGGTGAGGATGAGGAGAATAGCGATGATGATGAAAAAAGTATTGCTACAGTTGATCTTGAAGGTAGCGACAATGATTATCCTAGTTTAGCCTTTATTGTATCGCGGATTGAAGAAATTTCCAAAAAAAAGAGCGAAAAATGGTCAATATTACGAGACTTGCAAGTTGGAAATTCAGAGGAACCTGAACCCGAACTGGATTCTGAATCAGGGACTAAATTTGAAAATGGCGTTTCCAATGACTTATCAGAGTGGGTGGAGAAAGAAAAAAAAAATTTTTTTTTTTTTTATTCATTTGTTCTGTCAAGATATCATGCTTAGTCATTCGCACCCATCAATGCAGGAAAAGTTCTCCGCCACCAAAATTTGAACCACTCGAGGTTTCCTTATCATTCAAGGACGAAAAAGGAAAGATGAATGGTGCGTCCTTGATACACCCAATATTGTGGTTTTTTCAAATTCGAAATAATGAATAATTGACCACAACATTCGTTCTTTCAGCACTGTTGAGCCCGGTGATCTCAAATCATGAACGAAACGACTTCAGACCTTTTTCGAGTTACACGAGGAATGAACAAACGTCTTTTTCCAACCACGAGAGATCCGAGACCGGACCTTTTCAAAATCATTCGCGATCTGAACCAAGCCCCTTTCCGATTTATTTTCCAAATCATGATCGATACGAAACATTTCCTCATTCGAACCATGATCGGAATGATTTAGGTCGCTTCTCTAATCACGAACGGTCGGAATCCGTTCGTTTTTCAAATCACGAACGATCCGACTCCGGCATCTCTTCGTTCAACAGACTAGATGACGACATTACAGCATTTCATCATCAAATACCATTTGGTATAAAACGATTAGACTCGTCCCCACCTCCTGGGCCAATATACAAGAGACCAAGGCCTATGTCCAACGGGATGCATTACTCCGAATCCATCTACGGACCACCACCCACTGGGCCGAGTGGAATGTCCGGGAACGGAATGATGGTGAGTGATTACATATTTCCTTTTCATTCACGCCAATAGAAAAAACGAATCAAAATTTTCTTTTCGAACGTGGTTTTTTTTCTCTTTTTGGGGGGGGACTTAGGGTCGAGGAAGAGAGGATCCATATATGTACTATCACCGAAACGATTATCGACCTAGTGCACCGCCATACATAGACCGGTCAGGTCCGTACGGGGGACGGGGCCATATGAACAATATCCCAAGGGTATGTTGTCAACTTGCTACTATCATGGGATCGATAATGCGTTTTTTTTTTCTTTTTCTTTTTTGAATAACAAAATCTATGTATATTCTTTTTTTACTAGCGTCCTTCTGGAACTCAACCTCCGAGATCCATGACACGACCCCCGGATCGCTCGCGTAATAGATATAATTAATTTTACCTTGAATAATCTTATAATAATTTTTTTTCTTTTTTTTAAAAAAAAAAAAAAAAAATCCCCGAATGATGTTAACGGGATTATTCTCTAGTGTACATTCATTTTGTTTTTAGCGATTGTGTAGACATAGTATGACTTGTACTTTTTATTATTATTCAACATTATCTGTTCTACATTGTATATAGTTTTTGCAATATCTTTATTATATTCATCAGAACCTTATTTCTGATGATAAACTCTACCGTATCGTTGTATCCGGTCGTGAGATATACACGAGCTTTCTTTTTGTTTTTTGACTGATGGAACGTTGTTGAAAGCTCGAGTGTTTTGAATACCATTTATTGTACATACGAGAATTGATAGGAACGACCCGACATGCTCTGTACCACGCTGGAAATCATGTGCCAAGTTTTTTGTTCTCTTCGTCGGTGAAAGTGTGTTCGACTTTCTTCGTTCCATCCGGAATTGGCAGCTGATAAGGCGATTCTTGGTAGATAATTGTATTAATTACATTATATGCATGTCATTCCCATGATCTTCATTCAGAACTTTGAATTTAGAATTTTATTTGATAAGTAACGGTTTGTATTATAGCTGATTGGTTAAATACGTTCCAGCTTCCTTGCCATGAGATTTTGAAGACCCGTGACCATTATATTTCATCGCCGGCTGACACTACTAACCTGTCACTTCAATGTTATTTTCTGAGGTCACACCTTCTGTACCTCGGCCTTTTGTGATGACCTCATCGTATCCCTTTTCCAACTCTTCTAACCATCTAGTATTAATCATGAGAGTATTCCACTTCACTCCTGGCATCAATGCACAAACACGACTCAATTCACCAAGCTTCCCTTTAACAACTTGTTCATCTTTGGAATCTATTGATTTACTTTTTCCATCATTGATATATAATCTAGCGAGTGAATCTTTTCTGATTGCTCTCAGAACATAAGGCGATATTTCCTTGAGGAATGTGCAATCTTCAGAGGAGAGTCCTTTGGAAATTAGTAATTGTTTTGCGAATGAACTTCCAAGGATGGTTTCAATGGGCACCCCAGGAATCTTGACAAGCTTCTCAGCTTCAGCATTTGATGATTCGGAATTTTGTATTACATCTATGCTCTGATCATTCTCATTCTTGGTATTCGAATTTGACTTCTCCTGTTGTTTAATCTCGACAAGACGTCCATCCTCGATAAACTTTTTGATCGTTTTAACCACTTCTTGATGCCGAATCAGAGACTTCGGCTTCGTCTTGATCCACCGCATATATTTATTTTCCAGCAATTGAATCAATGTTATCTGCTTTTGACTCTAAAGTAATCAATCCAGGCATTAATAAATGTTTGAAGTAAACTCAAATACTCCGTCGCACCCCAAATGTCATTTACCTTGCCTTTAGGGCAGTGTTGCAAGAGTATTTCGTACATCTCTTTTTCCTCGTCTTCCCTGGTCATCGGATGAATCTTTTCGTAATTCAGGTAAACGCGATTCATCTTATTTTCACGAATATTCTCGTATACTTGAATTCCAGCAAAAGCATCAGACGAGGCGTATAAAATTAACTCGGGATCCAGCTTTGGCGCATCGAAATTCCATTTCAATATTTTTCTTGTTTTTTTTAATACTAACTCTCCATCGCCAAACATTGCCGTCAGTTCCGCCAGAGATCTCGCAGAGTATCCTTTTTCTTTGGCTATGCTCTCAATATCAACGATTCCTTGACACTTGATGTTATACGAATTCTTCAACCATTCAGCATCATGACTTGCGTTAACCCCAACCTTCAGAATATCTTTGTCGTTTAAGAATTGTTGTAGTTTTACAGGAAATCTTTTCGGATCCCCGTTTGTAATTAAATATACTTGAAACAAAAAACAGATTTCACGCGTTGCAATTTGAATCATGGAAACCACCTGAGGATGTTTCGACCTACGGACTGTGGTCTCTGTGTCAAAACCAACATATCCGGAATGCCAAGTGTTATGCTTCATAATGTTAAGACAACGTTCGGCTAACGTCAGGTAATGTATGGTGGTTAGTTAAGCAACCTAATTGTAACCTTCCAAAACTGCCTCCCTTACCAGTAGATCTGTTCGATATTTGGTATACCAGGGGACTTGATTGAACTTTGGGGACCCTCGACTCATCTAAAAGATTAATTATCGAAGCGGTGCGTGAAGTTGTGTAATTTCGTGGTTGCATTTCCTTATACATTCTTGCTTTAAAGTATCTGGAAACCCGCAGAACGACCTTCATCCTATTAAGTTGACGTTAATGATTGTTTGCTGCGTGGTACGACGTACAAATGATCACACATATGCCTAACAGTGAGGTTTGGTTACTTAATCATGTTATTTTATACACTTGTTCGCAAAGAAATGCAAATTTTTTTTAGGATCAATCCGAAATGGACATGGTTTATATTTAATAATAATAATAATAATAACCATAATAACCATAATAATATACGTATATACGTACGTATATATATATATATATATACAGTATATGTATATATTTTTCCACTCGTCAATTTATCAAAAACTTTATCTGCTTTAATATAAGGTATACAATCTTTTTGAAGTAATTAACATTTACAGTATATCAAGTGATGATCAACCAGTTATTAATGTTATTAATACGTTGCAGCGTTCCGTGTTTAAATACAGTTATCGTTATACCGTATTTATTTGGATAAAATTGCATTTCTATGCGTAATATAAAATTCGCAATATTTCTGAGAGATAAGGATATGATGGAATGTCTTGGGGACGCCAACTATTTCTATGCGCAATATAAAGTGCGCAATTTTCAATAATATAACGTAATGCCTCACCTTCGTCGAGTTCGTCTATTATATAAAACGTTGAAAAATCGATTTTCTACCGTTGATGGTGCCGACCAACAAAAAGATAAAGAAGTCATCATGTCTGAAGTTCATAGCCAACGTGCTACTCGCGCTTTCAATTCACAGCACAATGCTATAGGGTCTTGGTTCCTCGGTCCCCAGGCAGAAAACTTTCATTATCTGCAAAAACTTTTTAATAATGTGGCGGAACACCAAATGCAAGCGAGGAAAAAGTACTTTTCAGACGACATGGTAAGGAATATTGACATGCGCACTGGGCAAAAGAATTTTTTTCGCCCGGATAAAGCACATAATTTTATCGCGCTCGCATTAAACATGTTCACCCGAGTTTCATCAGATATAACATCTTTTCGACCAGTGAGTGTCATTCCATTAACACCATTATAGCCTTTCATCAATACCCAAATACAAGACTCTGCAGAATTCAAGGAAAGCATGAATAAACTTGAAGGAACACTCAAGTGTCTTGCGGCACATTTGTCTTCTCATTCTGTTCCCTTCTGGTCGCCTCGTTATATGGGACACATGAACATGGACACATCTATGCCTGCAACTGTTGGTTATCTGACGACCATGCTCTTTAATCCAAATAACGTAAGTGCGGAAGGAGGTCCATTGACAACCATGATCGAAATTGAAGTTGGGAAACAATTATGCGAGATGGTAGGATACAATATTGATCCTGAAAATAAGGATGACCCTATCGGGTGGGGTCACACAACTTGTGGTGGTTCGGTGTCCAACTTAGAATCAATGTGGTACTGTACATATTAGTCCCCATGAATTTCCAAAATGACATACTGACATCCTGATCATACCTCCATATTAGGGCAGGTAATTACTTCGAATTTTATAAATTTTCTTATATACGAGTTGCCCACATTCTAATCAACGTGATTTCAAACATTTCTAGCTCGGAATCTCAAGTTCTATCCCCTGTCTCTTCGCAGAGCTTTAGAGCGCACAGAATCCTTAAACTACATCGCAGATAGCTTTAAGGTGGAACTCTGCGATGGAACGCAAAAGTTATTAAAAGATTGTACCAGTTGGGAAATGCTTAACCTGAAAGCGAGCACAATATTGGATCTTCCGGGACGGCTGTTCGAGGAATATAACGTGTCCGAACAATACTTGGAATCCATCATGGAAAAGCACATCATCCAAACGGTTGGAAAAGACGACCTAGAGAAGTATTTTGGAATTACCAAACCAATTCTCTATTTCATAACCATCACCAGGCATTATTCATGGCCTAAAGCAGCCGGTAAGTTAAATTGATTGATTATGCTCGTCGTTTGAGAATGGATTACATACATGACATTTTTGAAATTTAAGCCATCACTGGAATCGGGTCGGAAAATTTAAAAGGCGTCAATGTGGACAACGCGGCTCGCATGGACCCCACCTCCCTTGACAAACTTCTCCAACAATGTCTCGAAAACGAACAAGCTATCTATGCGGTCGTAACAGTTATTGGGTCTACTGAGCATGGTGCTGTCGACCCCTTATCTCAGGTGTTAAAACTACGGGAGAAATATGAAAAGCTTGGTCTTTCGTTCATCATTCATGCCGATGCTGCCTGGGGTGGCTATTTTTCGACAATGATCCGTAAAACACCCGCGGATCGAGACATACTCTCTCCTGATCCTAACGTGGATTATGTTCCCACCTTAGCATTGCAGCCTTATACTGAAAATGAGTTAAAGCACCTAAAATTCTGCGACACTATCACCATTGATCCTCACAAGAGTGGATACTGCCCGTATCCGGCCGGCGGGTTATTATATCGAGATGACAGAATGAGGAACACAATAACCTGGAAAAGTCCCCTTGTGTATCGAGAGGATGATTACGCGTGCATTGGTCTATATGGTGTTGAGGGAAGGTGAGTGTGGTCCATTACTGTCTGACTGGTTATGATATCAGAAATTGAGCGCGATAATTTAAATCACGTCTTTCTTTCTAGTAAACCAGGATCATCACCTGTGGGCATTTGGCTATCCCACGAAATCATTGGACTCCATTTGAATGGATATGGTGCCTTGCTAGGCGAAGCAACATTTACCTGCACGAAGGTATGGTTCACAAAAGATCCTAAAACAATTAATTCCATTATAATTACTTATATGTCATATAATTTTGACTAGATGTATACTCATTGGGCCACCTTGTCAACCGGTGATACCCCGTTCATCGTTGTTCCATTTAACGGACTTCCGGCTGAACGTGAAAATTCGACCCCCGAAGAGATTGCTAAACAAAAGGAATTTATACGCCAGAGAATAGTCAACCGACCGAACTCGGAGCTTATACATGACGAAGAGGCGTTAGAGTTAATCAAGAAACTTGGTTCCGACTTAGTTATTAATGCCTTTGCTTGTAATTTTCGCATCGACGGCAAGGTCAACGACGACATTGTTGAAGCAAATCATCTCAATCAGCGTATTTCCGAGCGGTTGTCAATCCGTAAAATAACTGACGTGATGAATGATAAACCATTAATAATAACCTCCACATTGTTATCGCAGAGTACTTACGGAGATTGTTTGAAGGACTTCAAGAGACGTCTCGGTCTTAAGGGAGATCAAGACTTGTACATACTTGTGAATGTAATAATGTCACCTTTTCCCACAATGGGAAACTTCATCGGCGAGTTAGCGGATGAATTCAAGAAAGTCGTAGAGGAGGAGGCACAAGTGAGTAATTTACTAGGATGTTTTTTTCTTTTCGATTCTCCCTGCATTCTGACCATTCTCACACGTCTGGTGTATGCAAACAGGCCTCTATCAAATGTAACAAACCGAGTCCAGACCATCATGGTTTCGTCATGCAAGGCACAGACAGTCTTTATCTCGTCCACCTCCCAATGTTCAACATGGAAAACCACAATCATCAATTGATTCTTCAAGCTGAGTTACCTCCTGAAATTATGAAGAAATACGTTGAGGCGAGACAACAAGATCCGAACCTGATAATCCTTCTAGGAAACATTGAAGAAACAACTCTTGGTGACATGATATCCAAAAAAGAGTTCAAAGCAGAAATCTATAAAGGCCTACCGCAGGAGGGGTAAAATTTCGTTGATATGATCACGCATGAATATTACTCTAGAGATAATAATATTGCTGTTTGTTTTTTTATTTTATATCTTTACGATTGCTTTAGCTCTCCATCCTGGCTGACTAACGTCCCGGTAAAAAATGTTCGAGTCGTCAAGAAGCGTGGACTCCGATCAAAATACCTCGATTCTCATTACCCTATGGGTCACATGCCATTTTATCTTTACGGCACCGAAAAACAATTCCATATCGACCATCTCTTGGTAAAGTCACCAAGCATCCACATTAGCGCCGATCAAGTGAAGCTTGAACTTGAATCCGGAATTCTGGATAAAGCTCGCTGTGAAGCCGGAGTTCTTGCACGTATCACTTCCCTTAATGAAATTGCCATGCAACCTTTTCCCGATGATGATACATTAAAAAAAGGATCCGTCTTTCAGCCTGGCGCAAAGTTCACAGTTGAACTTTATGATGATCCGGTCAAAGATCCGGAGGCGAATGGTCCGGGATTAAATGATATTTCAAAAATGTCTTCATTTGCTAAAGGCACTATTACTCTGGGTCCTAATGTATGGCTCGACACCGATATGCTAAACGAAGTTCATTCGGCACATCCAGTTAGCGCTGCACAATGGAAGGAACGCTTTTCCGATTTGCTGAGCGATCATGAACGGTTTTGGAGTTGTCCTTTGCATTCATAAATCCTTTATTATAAAGTTTTTAGTATTGAAGTTTTTACGCAAAATAAATCAACTAATTTAATGTTAATTAGCGATTTAAATGTCACCAACGCGGTTAACTTCCATTTATTGCGCCTGTTTTGAATAGAGATTTGGACAAATATAGTATACATTATGATTTGTTTACATTATATAAACCAATATGTTTTGTGTCAGCCAATTATCTTTGGTGATAATTGTGTTACTCAAAAGCTCTAAAAAGAAATAAATCTTTTTTACTATATAAAACCTTTATATAATATGCTTCAAAAATTAAAAAGTTTTCAAATACTTGATGGTTTCTTTTTCTTTGAGAACTTTTTTACTATTAATATCAAAAACTTGACTTGTTTTTGATCATCAAAAGTTAAGTTTTAGAATTATAAACAAATATAAAAAAATAAAGGTAAGATTAATTTTTGAAATCTTTTTTCAAGTTATTTTAAGAAAAGTTTTAAGACTTTATTAGCAAAAGTATAATAAAACTTTTTGCAACTATCTTTTTTTATATACAGTTTGGGACAAAACTTTTTGCCCTCTTTTTTTTTGTTTTATTTTTACTTATAATTTAATATCTATTTAATAAAATTTAATAAAAATTTATATCTATTTATTTAAGGATATAAAAAATAAAACTACTTAAAGATTTTTTTTAAAATTAATTATTAAAATTTTGTTAGATTATAATTTTTAAAAAATATATTTTTAAAGAAATATTGATTTTAAATAGAACAAAAATTATATACTAAAATATTATTATGATTATTTTAATCATTAAATTTATAAAACAAAGGTAAATAAATATATAAATAAAATTTTTACAATTTTTTATTAAAAAAAATTTTTTTTAATTATATAATTTATTTAAGTTTAGTAAATAAAAAACATCTATTTAATAATAGTAAACTCTTTCTGCAAATTTCTCAGATCTTAGAAATTTTTTTTTTATATAATTTACATAAGGAAAAAGAAATATCTATAATTCAAGATACATATTCTTGCAATATTGGTATATAACAGTTATCTTAGTATAAAACAACACTTTATACATAGCTCTAGATTAGTAAATTGCTAAAAAATATATAAATATAGTAATAATTTTGATCTTTTCTCTTTTTTTAAAAAGAAAAAAAGAAATTAATATAAATTGATTCATAGTCAAAAAAGAAAAATCAATATTAACTTCACAGTGCTTGTAATCAAGTCAATATTTTTCTTAACATTATAAGGAATCATAAAAAAAGTAGATTTGCTTAATAAATCAAACAAACATTAAATTCTTTAAGACTCAAAGGATATTAAAGCTTCTCAAGATCTAAACAATCTAATATATTGTATATATCCTATCCTATAAACATCAAAACATCTAATTAAAGTAATATGAATATATACACGTATATAGACCTGTTGTCAAAACAAGTTTAACAAAGATCTATCACAGCAGTATAATAAGAGCAAATAAATTTGACAAGATCCTCAATTATATTATTATTATAAAATATAATTGATATAAACAAAACAATAAGGGTCTATAATACAACATTAAATACTGATGTAAATAAGTAAACAATACTAGATAAAAAAGGGATAAATAATACATGTCTGATCAAAACGAATCAAGACACAAATCTAAATAGTAAATTTCTAAAACAAGAAACAAAACATATAAAAGATTTTTTCATTTCATGTGATTATAACAACACTAAGTAATTTATTTTCTATTAGTTATCCTTTACATATATAATAAATAAGATGGAAAATATTTTACATATAATAGATAAAAGAGAAACAGATATCATTAATACTTTAATTCGACTTGTAAGAAAGCATAACAAATATAATAAGCTATAAGCTATATAACAAATAGTTAAATAGAAACAAGTCACCATTCAAGTGAAAGAAGAAACATCAGTTTCAGAAACCTGTATAAAACTTGATAGTATTATTGCAAGTATTTTAGAAGTAGACAAGATGATATTTCATAAAAAATAAATTTTAATACAACATATAACCTACCTCTGGCAACTTAAAAAAAAAAATAAGAGGATCTATTTTAGCTATACATCAAAAATGAACTTCTTGAAATAATTAAAAAAGAAAAAAATATATTAAAAGATATAGAAATTTTTTTTATAAAGATCATTATTTAGGTAAAAAATAATTTAACAGTAGACAATAAGATCATAATGTCTAATATTCCAGAACAAGAAGAAATAGAAGAGTAAATAGAATTTGAAATACTATGAGAAAAGATCAAAGGTTCAATTATAAATAAATATAGTTTATATAGTTCAAGAAATAGAGCTGCAAATCTCACTTCAAATCTATATTATATAAGTAAAAAAGGAGCATATCAATTAGAGACCATGACAGTAAATATTTAGAAAAGAAAATTAGAGCCTATCTGTACAATATCTTAAAACTATCTTAGAATAAACAAAACCTTCTTTATAAAAGTTTCATTAATGACAATGAATGACTAATTCTCTATTTCAAAGAAAAAAAAGATTTCTTTAAATATTTATAAAAAGTAAATAGAAAGGATGAAACCTTCAATCTTCAATGACTAGAACTAGAAAAAGAAGAATATATAAATCAATCAGTTATAAATAAAATAGAAAAAAAAATATTCTAAACCCATAATCCAGAAGAAAACAAAGATATATAATATATAAGTCTAGTGATTATGAATCATAAACTTTTCAGAAGTTACATAAAAGAGCATCTAAAAAAATATGGAAATGTTAAAAACATCAATATTTATAAAGTAAAAATCAAAACCAGAGTAAAGGCCTATCTCAAATAGCATAATTATTTCAAAATTAATCCTGAAGAAATATGGATAATATCACTTGGAATAGAAATGAAAAGAACAATCTTTACTAAAGAAGAACTAACTGATAAATAAATAAATGAGATTTTGATCAAACAAAACAAATACTTAGTCAAACTCTTAAGCACAAATAGAATATTCTCAAGTTTGGTAGCCAAGGTACTTAATGGTATAGAAGCTAAAGCCTATTATATATCAAGAAACTCTCATATATTAAAAAAGCAAAACTTTATAATAGTATGCTTTGCAATAAAAAAAGCATTAATAAAAGCTTACAAGTAGTATATTTTTTACAAAGACTAAAACTATTTTTTTTTTTTTTTTTTTTTTTTTTTTAACCCTCTGTCAGGCTAGTTATGTGTACTTTATTAAACAATTGTAAGCTGTACATTATACATGTGATGCTAAAGCTAATTCTCTAACTAACTCACTTGTCAAAGTCTTATATTTATCTAAGACTCTAAGTGCAACTTCGGGAGTGA